CCTTATTCACTGTTGGTGGAAGTGTAAAACTGTGGAAGCCATTGTGGCGCTTTCTCAAAAAGTTGCAAATAGAGATACCATTTGACCCAGCAATTCTACTACTGGGAATATACCCCAAAGAGACCATAACTGCCACCCAAGCAGATATATGCAGACCCATGTTTATCACAGCTTTGTTCACAATAGCAAGGAGTTGGAAACAACCCAGGTGCCCATCAACAAACGAATGGATAGAGAAGCTGTGGAATACTACACTGTGTTGAAAAACCAAGGAACTTATGCAATATTATTCAAAATGGGTGACACTGGAGGACAGTATGCTGAGTGAAATAACTCATTCACAAAAGGACAAATACTGCATAGTGCCACTGTTATAAAACAGGACTGACATCAAGGTTGGGGGGAGACTGAGAAAGATGGAATACATAATATATGCTGCATTGAAACAGATGAGGGAGAAAATTGTTTAAAAGGTATATGTGATTAGGAATTATTGTCATGACGGGCGTCCAGAACGAAGGCTGCATATTGGAGTGGACCTGGAGGGAGGGATTGTAAAAAATGAATTTTTTTTACTTTCAAAGAGAAGAGTGTACTGGGAGGGGAGGGGTGGGCAAGGAGAAAAGTGCAACAATGAATGAATGGAAATCCAAAGTCTCTGTAAATTTTCATTAAAATTAATAATAAAAATATATTTGGAACAAAAAAAGGAAAGTATAAGATATAAGAAAACATCTGGAACCTGCAACAATAGAGAAGTCTTGGGCACACATCAGGGTCCCAAGAGGAAGAAAGAAATGGAACAGAAATAGGAGGCTCCCTACTTCCTGGTTTTGCCACTAGCCTTGCAGAGATTTTGAGTGTTCAGTTGACCCTTGAACAACAGAGCTAGTGTGGGTCCACTTCAATGAGGAATATTCCCTCCCTCCCTGGTGCTATTATGGTCAACTCAAGCTCACCATAATAGTATCCACTTAAAATGTCATGTGATCATCTTGTGCATAATTTACTAAAGAGGTGAATTGCTCATGCAGAGATGATCAGGGTCATATGTGTTGTTTGAGGGTCAACTGTAAATCATAGGTAAGTTTTCCATTGTATGAAATTCAGCATACTCAACCCCCCATTGTTCAAGGGTAAACTGTATGTATATGCCTTTTCGTTTCCATTCTTAACATCAAGTGCATGGGCTTGCTTAACATTTCCCTTACCAGTTATTGTAAATTTCCTGTGCAGGAGAGACTATCTCCCTCTCCTTTTATTTGCAGTTGTTTGGAAAATAATGTCTTCCCAACTTCCCTCCCCACCTCCCCAGCTAATATCTCTAGTCTCTTCCTTCAGGCTTATCTTTTCTCCCCAGCAACATGCAAAGCCAATGAATTATTAGCTCTGAGATTGGGCCTGGACCACCGGGAATTCTGGGTGCCACAGATGGACAGATTAGCATATTAGAGCAATCTGTCCCAGAGGCTCTTTCAGCAACGACACAAAAGGGTCAAGGAAACAAAGAGCATAATTGGCCACATCAGGCAGCTCAGGACTCCAAGGGAACCCCGGCACCTGGGCTTGGTGAGTGTTGCAGGCTTCTATTGCGCTGATTTCCTGCCCTTGAGCAAAAGAACTGGAATCAATAATATTTCAGTCCATTTTTTTTTGCGGTTACAGAAATATCGCTAAGCGCCCCCCCCAAAAAAAACCCCAACCAAAACACTTGCAATTGTTATTCTTGCTTCTTTTTAAGGACTTATTTTTCTTTTTTATGGTAAATTGGGCATCTGTATCTACAGCAATCAAATCTTAAGGCTTTTTGTGGAGCTAGGTAACAATCTTATAAAGGCAAGAACAATGTTTAGAATAAGTGTTTTGTCGTGCATAGCAGATCCTATCAATTGATTTTGCATTGAAAGAAATAGATTTTTGGGGGAGCAAGGAAAAGTGAGAAGACAAGCACCAAACCTATAACTCTGACATATTCCCCCCCAAAATAACCATTATATTTGTCCAGAACTTTGTTCTTTTCCAAATCTCTTCATATTTGTTGTCTTATTTGATCCTCCTGAGCACTTGGACAAACAGATAAGGCAAATGATGCCTCCATTCAACAGCTGAAGACAGAGGCCCAATGAGAGTAAGTGAATCACTTCAGGTCACAAAGTTTATTAAGGTCAGAATGGCCTTCTGCCCAGATGTATACAATTTAGAGGCCATCATCACCTTTGCCTAATTGGGAGGGGTTTTATGCAGATGTTTACAGTGTTCAAGTGAGGGAGGGAAGGATACATGCAGGAAATGGGTATGAAATATATTCTGTAATAACAAACCACGTTCAAAGGAATTCTGCTGGTACGCCTTCTCATTTCTCTTTGGACATCTGAAATACGATGCCTCCTATCTAAATTATTTTCCATTGCCACACATCTTAAGCCCAGATTCTGCCTAAGACTAATCGAAACATCTGCTTTCTTAGCTCTGAACTTCAGGTACAAGCCAAAGGAATGGGAGGAAAGCTGCCGTTCATAGCCCTCAACAAATGCGACAAGCCTGAGAGGGGAAAGAGATTTTTGATCAATTCCAAGTCAGTGTGACATCGCTGACACATGGCACCATTTTTTGGAAGCCAACCCTGTCAGGAAATGATAGTGAAAATACTTTGCTTGCTCTATCTTTGTGGTTTTTCAAATTGCTGGGAAAACTCTTTATTAGGAGGCTGTATAAAAACAAAAATCTCCACCAATTTGGCAGGTTAGAAGCAGCATTTGAAAAACTGAATAGAATGAAATAGCAGCAATGTATTGCAAACAGTAAGAATATGTATTATTCTGGACATATATATTTTATTGATTTCAGTTATCCTTAAGCATCTGTATACTGGGCTATGATGATGTAAAACAGACTTCTTACTGTAGGTCATGGTAAAAAGTTTGAATGTCAATGATCTACAGTATGCATAAATTCTTGTTATCTATAGTAATGCCCTATAGAGTCACAAAGACGATGAATTAGCAAATACTGCACCACTCCCCAAGGGAATTAGATTCCTCTTCACAACATTTTCATCAGCCAATCATTTTCATCACCTTGTTTTATGATGTTTCTGTTTAAAGACACCTTATTTTCTACAAGTGTACTGTCTTTGTAATAAAACATTAGTTATGAATTTAACATTTTTTTTTACTCTGGTTCAAAAAACAGTGACATAAAAAGCCTTTGGTTCTCAGGCCCACAAGGCTGTTTTCTGTATCTTTTTTCTCTGGTCATCTCATTCGTGCACAAATTTAGCTACTTTAACATATATCCTACTGTTTTATCACCCCCCATAGATATGACTTTAGCACCTTCATGTACAGACTGACTAATTTCCCTTTTTCTAGATGTACGATGTCGTTGATTCATTAATATTGAACTTATGGCCAACAGCACTGCAACTCCCATTATGTAACAAATGTCTTTTTTTTTTCCATAAAAGCACATCACACCTTCTTGCACTGAGGAACACTAGGCAGCAAGTCATCATTATTATGCTTGGGAGCCATTTTAAACAGAAAGATCACTAACAAAAAGTACTACAGATACAAAAAGCATGGCATCAAATAAACTGTGAAAAGGACACTTGTTTACAACATGAAACAAGCAAAAAGTAAGCACTGCCTTTTTGCATTGTTTGACTTCAACCCTGAAGGTAGGTGCACAATGGGTGACTCAAATTTTTTCACTTCGCACATATTTGCCAATGACTGCAAAAACACTGAGTTTTTATTTTCAGCTACAAATAAATTTTAGCAAGTCGGTGTATGGACAAATATGGAAATCTGAATATTGCCATCAAGTGTACCTCAATCCTAAATGTATGCTGTATCCAGAGACACTCCATCAAAAGCATCTTACTTATTTCTTCCTTTTAGTACTCTGAGAAAAAGGATTGACCTATATATAGCAAACTGAAAACAGTCACAAAGCAATCTTTTATACAGAAAGCTACATTTGGCAAAGGACAAGTATTTATTAATACAGAAGCCTTTGGTATCAAAGGTTTTGATATTTTATTGTACAGAGGGAATTCTCGAATGGGAAAGTTAAATGCTCTATTATTTTCCCTTATTTTCGTGGTTATGTTTAAACATATCCATACTTATTTCATCCTATACATATTACAAAAATCAACAAATTGAGTTCCTTTCTATCAAATTTTGTTTTATGTGTTTAAAGACACCTTATTTTTTACATTTATATGCAGCACACACACGTTATTATTAGGTGCTACTGTCGTCTCAACAATGGGATCTGATACCTGCCCTGTCATGTGTTATCCTCCTCGTCTGATATACTTGAGCCCATTATTATAGTCACTGTGTCAATTCATCTCATTAGGAGGTCTTCCTTTCACTGCCTCTCCACATTTCTAATCATGATGTATGTTGTTATGTGCCATCAAGTTGGATCTGACCCATGGCTGACTCATCAGCAGGTTTTCAGAAGCAGTAAATTGCATGGTAAGAGATTTTTCTTCCGTGGAGCAGCCAGTAGATCTGAACTGTGTGCCTTTGGATTGGCAGTGCAGCTCCTTACCACTAGGCTCTCATAGCTGCCTCAAGTAATTTTATATATATACACACACACACACACACACACACACACACACACACGATAGGTTCTATCAAACAGTACCTATTTGGCTTTTGACTTCTTGCTCCTGTCCCAAACATGCCACTTGCTGTTTCACTGGGAGAAATCATACTTTAACAGGTAATTTTCACATATTTGGAAACTAGTAAGATGACTCAAACTCACCAAAGTTTATATGCATGTTAAATTAATCACATATATTTAAAAATAATGGGACTATTCTTTCTGGAAACCAGTTGTATTTCACTGCCTACTAGAGCTGGACAGTGACTAGGGATGATAGAAGGAGAGTTGATGCTTTTGAGCTGTGGTGCTGGAGAAGAGTATTGAATGTACCATGGACTGCCAAGAAAACAAACAGATTCATCCTAGAGAGGGTTAAACCAGGCTACTCCCAAGGATTTTGGGGCTTCGTCTGACATACTTTGGACATGTTGTAAGGAGAGACAGGTCCTTGGAGAGGGACATCATGCTTGGTATGGTGGAGGGACAGTGCAGGAGAGGAAGATGTTTGATGAGACGGATTGATTCAATCACTGGGGTAAAGAGGGTGGGTGTACTGGAGACAATAAGATTGGCAAGAGATAGAGCAGGGTTTAGGGCTGTTGTACATAGAGTTGCTATGAGTCCCAGGCGACTCGATGGCACATAACAACAACAACAACCTAATATAACATTTTAAGTTTCAAGCCTAGGGAGCTCTGGTGGCAAAGAAGCTGCACTGCAATCCCGAAGCTTTAAACTTAAAATGTTCAAGTTCTCACCAACAATCTTCCTTCAACATGAGAAATGACTCAGAATTATGGATACTTGGTAGAAAAAGAGAAAGAACAAGGTGGGCAAGAAATAGGACTGCAAATAAAAGTCCATGTTGTTGACCTTTGCTTTCAACATTTCAACAAACTTTTTTTTAAATTTGAAAAGTCTTATATTATATGGAAACAAGTACGTACTCTGGAGAGTTAAACAAAACACAAACCACAAAAGATCTTACAATTAAATAAACTTGTCTCAAGGTGGGTTTTATTTATTTTCCAAGTTACAAAAATATGAACATTTAAAAATACAGTATAGTCCACTTAAGAATAGTTCCAGCCAATTGGAGTTATACAGAACTTTGAAAAACATTCATATTCAAGCCTTAAAAACACTTTTAGTGAACAGCACTAAATCTTTTGTTCAATTATGTTATTGCTCATGAAATGCAGTTTCTGGTAGAACTAGTTTCCCTTTGAGGAGGGGTAGTATTTGGGCCTTGAAATTTTTGCTCAAGCTGTGCTTTCAAAAGTTCAATTTAGAGTAAGCAGCTCATTTTGAGCAGAATAATAAAATAATTATTATAATTTTATAGTATTAATATAATTTTTGATCATAACTACAAGAAGGCATGACAGTTTCCAAATTTCAGTTCCAGTCCCTTTTTGCTAACACAGCAGAAATATTGAATGCAATTTGGGGTGGAAAGAAACAAATTACTGGCTTTAAAATTAAGTGATAAGAAATACTTTGAGTTACAATTAGAAACAACGCTGGCACATAGATATTAAAAATATTAAAATAATGAAAAAGATGTTTGAAGCTTAGCAAAAAATCAAAGCATAGGGAATTTTTTCTCTTTAGAAATTTAGACAGCAAATTAATCCATTTGCTGTTTTGAAGTTTACATCTACTGTTCCTAATCTTTTTAAAAGGCCACAGAATGCAATATTTAAAAAACAAAACAAAACAGGTCTTATTGTTCAATGTCATATGGAAGAATCATAAGAAAAATAATCTTTAATTTTAAAGAATTAAAAACTAGTGCAATTAACTGTAAAATACAAAGGTAAAATTATGTATCTGTGGACCATTAACACACAGTAGAGTTTCGGCCTAAAGCTCACATGAATCAAGTGGAAGATAAGAGATGTGTCCAGTTACCAAAGGCAATGGCTTTGTTTCCAACTTTTCTGTTGGATTTCAGCTGCCAGGATTAGGCTTATTGCTGACATTTGACCCTCATAAATTCTTGTATAGACTGAAACTTATACTGGTGATAAGCATGAGGTAAGTAAAAAAACCATCATGTTTAGAACATTTATAGAATCATGTTTAGAGCACATGACATGCATGACTATTTGGCAAAGACCGTGGTTACTTAGTCATACAAATCCTAAAAGGAAGACAACCTATTTTTAAGAGGTAGAATACAAGTACCAAAAATTTAGCATTTGGCCACCCTCCTCAGTTTTTGTTCTAATCTTGAATCTCAGTAATTCTTGTTTCTCCATTCTCACATTAAAGCTATTATTCTTACAACCACTTATAACCTAAACTATAGATCTGGAGCTGCCAAGAAAAATCTGTTTAGGAAGCTTTTATGTCACCAAACATGCCCAGTACTCAGGTATCAACAAAGAACATTATGTATGTCTCTAGTCTACAATTTCACGTCATTTAAAAAACCCAAACATGTCAACATAAGCATATTATTTAACATGTAAAAAGACCACATGCAATTCCAGTATGTCGGTGTAGGTATGTAAACCCACATTAGTAAAAGTTTTCTTTGAACTTATAAGGAAAAGCCATACATTACAATTGCACTACTACTGTTTCCTGAAAGTAAGGCTATGTTTTGCCTCAAAATTAAGCAGAAAAACCCCAATTCCTCTCAGTTATGTTGTACTAACAACCCACAGGTAGTAAATACTAGAAAAGGGTTTCATTTTTGTGATGGGCTGGATTCACAGTGAATATCAGTATGGAGACCATGTGTGCAACATTACTATCAGAATGCCAGTGGAATGTAGATAAGGCATGGAACAAACTAACATTGAAGCTCTTACAGGCAATAATCCAAACTAGCAGCTGCTAGAAAAGATGCAGATAGGAATTTGGGGCAGGGGAGAATTGTAACACATACTGGCTTACAATGCTTCTACAATTAAATGAATTAACTCACACAAATTTCTATAACTGGAACTAATGGACTAAAGGAGAAGGAAACTTGGACCCTTTAACTACTACTAGCCCAATCTTGAAAACGGAAGCAATCACTTGCAATCTTCCACACAGTTTTGTTAGGAGAGGACTGAGCAGTCAGCAGGAAATTCTGGTTGAAGTAGTGCTGCTTGTTTCCATCAAATTTCACCGTTCCACTGGTCACAACAAGAACAGTGGTCTGCAGTGGGGTAGCTTGCTCTTTAACACCACCAATTAAAAAAAAAATAATAAAGAAGAAGATCCGTTACTGAATTAAGCAGAGTTTTTCAAGTCTAAACTACATTGCTTAGGATGTGACTAAAAAAAAAAAAGTTTCATAAAACTTTCTTGACCTTGAGAATGTTCAGTATTTAAAGATCCAAAGGCAGGAAACGAAATAGCACAATCAATTTCAAGATATTAAAATATTAAAATTATTTTCAGGCTAGAAAGAGCTTGCATACTCAAATTTTCAAAAACAAGAAATTATTCTATCTAACACGGGACTGGGAGCACTTGATTACCGTATGTATTAAAATGTAATTGGGTTTCTACTGTAACTTATTCACAGATTTTGAGTATGAAATTACAGCTCTTTTCAAGACCTATAAGGGGGGGGGAAATCACCCTAAATTACCACCTGAGACCTTGAGGGCCCCACCTGGAGGCTAACTGTATAAACTGCATCCATTTATCTTGAATCAAATACCATTTTGTCAAAGAATTATTCCGTAGAACAGCAAATTTCCTTTGTAATGTTTTACGAGGCTGTAAGATACTAATTGGAGCCTTGGTAGAAGAGTGTTAAGCAACTAGCTTCAAACATAAAGGTTAGTATTTCAAAGCCCCCAGAAGCCCCAGAAGAGGGAAAAAACAAACCTGTGGCAGTATGTTTATATAGATTTACTACCTTGGCAACATTATGGGGTAAGTTCTAATTTATCCTATAGCATCACTATGAGTCAGAATTGACTCAACAGCAATGAGTTTTGGAGGATATTAAAAGATAATACTTATAGGGAGCTCTGGTGGCTTAGTGGTAAGGAAATGCACTGTCAGCACAAAGGTACGTGGCTCCAATCCATGAGCTGTTCTCTAGGAGAAAGGGCGGCAATCTTTCGTGAGATTAACTGCCAATCTCTTATGTGATTAACTTCTTCAGAAAACCTGCTAGAGGGTCAGCTATGGGATGGTTCCAACTTGATGGTATACAGCAAAAGATATTAATTAGAGATATATGGTATAATTTCCCTCTGAAGTCAGTACAGGGCATAGAAAGTAATCATTTACTTAGAGAAAACAGATCTTCTGTCATGTCTATTAACAAAAAATAGTTAGCCTCAATTTACCTTTTCAACCTATATGCAGAACAGATTATCCGGGAGGCTGGGCTCTATGAGGAGAAATGTGGGGTCAAGATTGGTGAAAGATCTATCAACAATCTGCGTTATGGAGATGACACAACCCTGCTTGCTGAAACTGA